AAATCAATAAAATCATTTTATAAAAAAATGTAAATAAATCTCGACATTAAAATTGCAAGGTAATTCGCATATCCGCAAAAATAATTACCAATGGTTCCAAACCAGAGGACATGAATTTTAAATATAAATTTTGAATGATATTTTACGGATATGCGAATTACCTTGCAATTTGTATGGTGACATTTATTTACATTTTTTATCAAATGATTTTAATGATTTATTGGAAGAATTATCATCAAACTTAAGGCTAAATATTTGGATTATACAAGATGGTACACCAATACATTAAAGACAAAGGGGAGTGAGAACAGTATTTAAAAGCTACTTTCCTGAACGTTGGATTGTTCGTGATAGTCATATTCTTTAGTTATGTGGTAAGATATCAATATAATTATTTAATTCATAAAAATCCCAAAAGAATACCTATTATTATACTTATAATACTGTACTGCAGCAGTTTCTTTAGAACCGATGATGCTATTTAATATGAGACGATATTTTATAGAATGTATTGACAAATCAGTTAAAGAAAATAGTGGACATATTGAACACTTACTTTGACAAAAAGGTTAATGTTATTTAGTTTAACTATTTTTTAATTTGGTTTATAAATAAAATATTTTGATTATGACTTTAATTTAATACAAAACGTAAAATGTTTGATGTAAAATGCAATTATTCTGTTATTTTATCAAATTCTATTATGAATTATCCTGCTGATATATTTATTTTATAACAAAAATTTAGAAGTATTGATGTTTTTATCTATTTTTCTTTCATTGCCTGGAGTAATGGCGTTAAATCAGAATTAAGCAGTTGATTTGTAAAATGCGATTATCTCGAAAACTGTTGAGTTTTGAAGTTATTAACAGGTATATACCTTTTTTTGTTAAAATAATGTTTCTTTAATATTTTTTATCCAAAATACCGGTAACTTAAAGAACAAAAAAGTTAAGTGCAAATGATAAATTATAATTCCTGATATTGAATAGTATCAGTTTTAAATTTTTATACATAAATGTTTACAAACATAAAAGTTATAGCGAAAAATAAAATTTTAAATTTCCACTTTAAAACCCTGTATCTTTTTTAATATCAATATTTTACTAAAGCAAGTTAGCTTAAATCGTAATATTTTAAAGTGTAGAATCTGCGGTTTCTTTTTGTACAATTACTTAAGGACCACCCTGTATATTATATTAAATAGTTGTGGAGACAGAGTACATCCTTGCCTTACATCTTGTTCTTGGTGGAATTAATTTGAAAGTGTGTCAAAGCACTTTTACTAATCCATTGGTGTGTTTGCATAGCCCAATCAAGGGAAATCAGGTGTTGCAGTAGGCCTACTTCTATTAGTGTCCGCCATAGGTGATAATCTATAAAGGAGATGTGTACTGGCATATTAAATTACCTTGAGTTTTCGATCATTTGTGTAATATTTAAAAAATGTTCTAGTTTACCTCTAACTGTGACAAATCCGGCCCGCTCTTCCGCCATGTATGAAAGCTGCCTGTTTGTGTAATGAACCTTGTCTGAAATGTAATCAAATAATCAAATTATCAGAGGAGGCAAAGCAATTTTATTCCAGTTTTTTTCAGTGGCCTTGAGCATTCCTGCTGTTATTATATCTTGACCCAGTGCCTTGTTGAGCTTATTGACCTTTCGAGTCTATCAGGTTCTTCTTCTTATATACATAAATAGTTCTGGTAGGCAAATTTCTGGTGTTGGTCATCTTTATATAGATCTTAGTAGTATGCTCTCCACGTCTCTGTTATATCTTCTCTGTTCGTTTTTCGGGGTCCCGTGTGGTCTTCAATGGCCTAGTTCTGGCTTTAAAGTTACTTGTTATATATTTTTTCTAATGGATCTCTCAGCTGGTTGTTTTTATCGTGGTTTTCAATGTCTTTGCATATATTGTGATAATATTGTCGTTTATCAGCCTTGCATCTTCGTTTTATGTTTTTATTAAGATTTCTCAGACTAGTTTTTTCCCTTTCTGTATGTAAACTAAAGATTTCTTCTATTCACAATGACTTAAATTATTCCGTCTCTTATTTAATATTTTCACTTCGCATAATTGTTTAACTTTCAATAGCTTATCGGTGTTATTGTTAAACAATGTTTAATGGCTTCACATATTTCTTGGGATGTATCATTAAGAATAGAGGGCATAGTTTTCTCTACCTCCTGGAAGATCTTGCTTAGTTTTTATTTCTAGCCTGTTCATAGCAACTGAATCAGTTGCTATCAACAAATCCTCGTAGACACTTTGTCTCAGGACTAGCAACCTCCAGTGGAGTCTTACGTTGCCATGTTATCTATTCCTGTTTAACTTAAACATCCTGGTATATAAAATCAAATAATGTAACTCAAATTTAATTTAACAACATTTAAAGGGTTTTTACCCAAGTATTTAGTGGCTTAAAACATGTACATCCAGATAGCACTGATGATGGAATATTAATTCCGAAAACGTTCTGTGATGTAGCCCGATAGGGTGTTTTAATATATACCTATTATAAAGGAATTTTCAAGTAATTTTATTAAAGAAGTTGTAAAAGAAAAGTGCTTTAATCTTCTGCATATAATGTGATCTGCTAAATATAGTTCAATCTATTAAATCATAGCAAATCGTGTAGATAAACTTGTTTCTCCGAATAAAAAACTTATTAATGGTCTAAAATTAATTATAAAAACAACTTATAACGTCTTGATACATATTTACTACAGTTTATAAAATACTTTTCAAAGATTGTGACACATTTTCACCTTAACCAACAGATGGGTTAAATTGTTTTTATCAAACTAACTGAAATTCTGGATCAATAACTTTGCATGTGTATGCCACACTTTGCAGTGAACTAGGTAAATCATTCCGCATACAGGCTACAATTGAACAACTACTTAAATCATGCAACACCATAAGAAGTTTTCGAACGGTGCATCGTCTTACAAAGCACATGCAACATAGAATTTAAAGTTATTAACAATGTAGTTCAGGACATAAATTAGAATTTGTGGTTTTGGTAATGCAAAAATAAATGGCTCAATTTAAAAATGGCAATAAGGCTCGTAATCAGATGTAATAAACAAATGATTACTCATACCATCCATTAATTGATAGAGATGTTCGATAAGTATAGTCTTAGACTGTATCTATCTATATATAAATATGGACAAATACACTGAATAACTAGTTGAGAATTTTAGAAAGAATCTAAAAAAAAACACTAACATAGTTCTTAATGCTACAATTTTCCGATTACGCCTTACTAAATCTTTTTTACATTATCTGATGTTTTTGCATTTTTAACTATGTTTTTTCTTGAACTTCTGTTACCATGGATTTTATTAGCTTTTGTACGTCTTTTTCCATCTACTTCCTATATCATATCCTGGGTCTAGCTATTTGTCTTTACCAACTAGTACTCGTTATCACTTTTAAGCTTTTTGTGTTTTCACTTCTCAAAAGATGCCTATTAAGTTTATACTTTGTGCTGTTATTCTAGATGATTCTGAGGCTATTTTCTTGTGGCATTTTTATGTTCTTATTTTTCATCCCTTCCTGTATGCCATGAATTAAAAACATTACGAATTAAACTTCACACATAAAAACTTGGTTTGATTTTTTTAATTATTGCCTATAAATATTTATTAGTTACGCGGATCAGACAAAAAGCAGACGATGAATGAACTGATATGGGGAATCTAAATTTGCATAGCATATCAATTCATGAGGCAACAACCTTTTGCGAACTAATTTCTTACACTCAAAATGGTGTGTAAATGAAAATACAGAAAAGAGATATTTTTGCATTGAAATTTGTAGAAGGCACAGATTTGGGCAATTATCTGAATTTTGGTTTTGAAAACCAATAAATCTTCGAGTTTACTTTACTTCTTTTGACGGAAACGATATGATTTTACGTTTAGAGCTTCTGCATAGTCGCTCTGAAGAGTCCTGATAGGACGAAATACGTATAAGAGAATAGTGGAAGCACTATACTGAAATCAAATTTGAAATGTCTTTTCTGTATCCAAACAATGTTTGCCGCCTGTTGGTTGACTGTTTCAAGTTCTCTGCTATAAAACCTGCGTCTTAGGTCTGCATGAAACAGCCCCATTGTATGTGGAGGCCTCATGGTGCATGTCCATTAAAGAAACCTCTTATGACTTGAGTTAATTCCTTTTGGCTTCATATGGCCGCCAATTCCCGATTTCTTTATACGATAATCCTATACCTATTTCTAATTCCTATGTCTTTTTTTGCGTTTGTGGAATTCATCTTTACACTCATTAAATCCCTTGAGCAGAAATTTATCATCGTCGGTATTTTATGTAGTTTGACTATCATACAGATCCTCGGGACTTCAAAAGATCGGCAGGGCCCAATATTGGGCACTAACATTAGGCCAATATGGGATCTCCGCGAATTTTTTCTATTCTTCTCTGTTTCTTCCTATATGCTCCTTGCTTTTTGAGGTTATCTATCCATCGCATTTGTGGTCCCGTTTTTTCATTCCTGTTTTCGCAAGGTCTCCACTGATGTTCGATTAGATTATTCCATCTTTTATCTTCACATCTGATGATGTATCCTAAAAATTGCCATTTTGTTATTTCGTTATACTATTATATCTCTTACTTTAGTTTTCTCTTTATATATCTATATCTCTTTTAGTAGCATTTGCTTTTTGTATAGGCCTCTCTGTTTTTTATTGGATCAACACTTACCTTTGTCTCTATTTATAACCTATAACTAAGAGCCGAGATAATACATTAAAAAAATTTTATATACTAAAAACATCACACTAACAATAAGCTGTCAGTATATTTATCTTATATAAGTACATAGAAATATATTTAATTGTATGTAAAAATTTGACAAGAGATAGTGTTTTAGTTCACACATAAATTTTAATTTGCAATTATTTGTGCATTATTTAACACAGCACCTAAACCAAACCACCCAAAAATAAAAAAAAATCGATGGACAAACTTACTGTGCTAAACAATTCATTAACACCAAAGGCGTGCTGGGATCTGGTCTGAGAGGGGGACTAAGCACGTGACCCGCCGAGTGATGGAAGCATTCATGCTTGTAGTGGGTACCATCTGTACCCAATGCTGCGACTAAGGTTTCACCATACACTCGGGCGTCACTTCTATGAAAATCTACGGCTCTAGCAGCCGATTTACTCATTACATGCACTACATATAACGGACAGTTTACCTACAAAATTATATAGAAAAAGAAACAAAACAAAAAATAAAGATTAAACTTACACAAAGTAAGAATAATTACATAATTATAATTCGTCGTTACCATTTCGGCACTTAAGTAATATATAATAATAAGTAATTCAATCTTTACTGGAGTGACGTCTTTATAGCTCACACTTCATGTCAAGAAAATGAAGCTAAAATTATTAAAGTTCCATAATCCAAAATATAGATAGATAGGGATACTGCAACTTATTATGCAGAATAAAATCATGAAGCCAAGTACTGTAGGAAACCATAGCATTTCCTGAACGTATAAACCGCGAGAATTGTTTGGACTGTCAGTAGTGAATTTTTTGGCACGTATGCATGGAAAATTACAATTGCCATGTTTTTTCGGTAACCTCCAAGAAGAGGTAGTAAATATAAGTATGGTAAGATACACTTAGATTCAAATATAAGACATTATAGCAAAACAGATGATAACAAAAATTGGATGTTATTTTTTCAATTTAAAAAAGGGTTAAAATAATAGTCTAAAATCCCATCACTACATTCTTAACGTAATTAACCAACCTCATATTTTTACATACATTCAAGAAGAGGAGAACACATGATCACATGTAGCCAGTCAAAAAGTGGCCGCAAGTAGTTTTAATTCAATTAATGGTAATTAATTTTTGAACAACAATTTTAGTCCGTTCATTAATTTTTTAAACAAAATACGTTGCAAATGACGTATATGCATCTTTTTATATTAAACTATATGTTTTTATATGATGATATAAGGTTACCTGACAAAAATGATAGCAATTTGGGTTGCCAGGTGTTAGAAATACCATTGGTTTGACATGACGAGTCTAAGTTGTATGAGTTTTAAAGCCATTGCACATGCGCCGATGGATAGTTCTCAAGAGTGAAGCTGGATTTTTCAAGTTTTAAAGCTCAATATATTACGTTGTTTAAAGTAAAGTTTGCATTTTAGACAAATGAAAAAGTATATTCTGCGTAGTAAAACTAATAATGTGTTGTATGAAATATAATGTAATAGCTTGTATTAAATTTAAAGACAATTTATCTTGTATTAAAAATTGTTATTCAATGATATTGTTTCGCCGCAAGAAAAATTATAAGTATTATGATATTATTTTAACTGCAGAATGTATGCAAAAAATAACTGTTCTGAAATTAAAAGGAAATTGTTTTTTCTTCCTTCTCCAGAGGCGTTGCGAGATAGCTTTTTACTTCATTTGATACCTCGCATTTTTAACATCTGGCAGCCCTCAATTAGTGACCATTTATTTTTTCGGTAACCTTATATATTTTATTAAAAAATTAGCTTTAATTTGATATAAAACATGCACATACGTCATAAGCAGCGTATTTAATTTAAAAATAAATGAAAGAAATAAAATTGTTGTTCAAAAATTAATTACCATTCATTTAATTCAAAATATTTTCGGCCACTTTTTGACTGGCAACCTATTGTTCTCGGACGCGACTAGTTCACGTTCGAGACGCATCGCCCCGCCCCTTATTTTTCCCGTTGGCCCCTCCCTGACCTGGAAATCCCTAATCGCTACTTCAGAAAGTATAAAAATAGGCGATTTTCAGGTCAATCAAGTCAGTCCTTCACGGGCTCTCCGAGAGCTTAGTGCTCTCGGGGCTCTGCTTCCTTTTTTTAGCTTTCCATACTCTGTGGCTGAGTATTTATTCAACTTTAAACTTGCTGTTTTATTTCGACTATTTAGTCGTGTAAGAAATAACTTGCCTTTATCAAGGCAAGTCACCGAAGCTGAGAACCTGATGCCTATTTCGACAACTTCGTATGTCATGTAAGAAATAGCTCGTCTTTTTCAAGACGAGCTCATCAGAAGAAAATATTCACAAGTCTATATCCAGTAAATAGACTTGGGTAGAGGTGCATTCGTTGACGTCTTCGAAGCCCTCTACAGAGCACCCGGAGGCTACAGTAGGAGTTCAAACGCTATTAATTCCCCCGCGGCGACACTATCATCAATGCATTCTCCTAATTTTAAATGTATGTAAAAATGTGAGTTTGATTAACTACGTTATGAACGCAGTGATCTTGCAGTGGGATCTCGTCTCGTAAATAGTTGTTTGAAAAGGACTTTTGGAAGCATAGCTTTCTTATTATTAATATATTAGGATATGCAATAATTCTTACCCTGCGTTAAAAGTACATATAAAAACGACCGATTACTAAACTAAAAATATCCTAAATGTAACTGCCGAAAATCTGGAAAAATAATAGTACTAGTCCAGTATAGTTTAGATTATTTTTACAGTAAAATAATAAAATGAAAAAAAAATGCCTTAATCTTAAAAATTCATACTTCAATGAAATGAAGTTAACTGTAAGCAATGCACATACTATATACATAAAGAAGTGAATGTCTTGAAACCACGCAATTTTTTCTTTTGTTTGTTTGTTGCTTTCATATTAATTTAACAGTATTCTGCGTAATCCCAGTTTCTTTCTCCCATTTTCGTTTTCCAAACACCACTATCAGTGGTACAGCTCTAGTTAACCGCACTTTCCTAGTCTTTCGTATACATATACATTATACCATATAACATCAGTTCACTTAGCCTTTTTAACGTTTCTTTCCAGATTTATACTTTCTTATGTTTCTATGTATAAACATTGGATTGAATTTTACCTAAAATGTGGTTCTGAAGCGTTGGCATTTTTTAAATTAATATAGGTATTATAGTCATTATCCAAATTATAAAATTGGTATTTAAAAATAAGTTTTTGAAAAATTTAACAAATTGTTTTGTTGGAAACGAAGCTTTTATTTTAAAATTTTGATAAATAAAAAGTTTATCTGCCTAACTAAGAATAACAACACTAAATTCATACTTTAAAATCGTATGGAAAATATTTTTGATGCGATATTAAAGATCGTCCATTCGATTACATAAAATCGACTTTAATAATTACTTGCCAATACCTGTCTTAATAATACGATTGATTTAATAATAATATTGGCTGAGAAGATTCTTCCATGTTGTGTATACATACACACATGCACACCTAAATCATGCTTAATTGGCAAATCACCAGATAGTCGCACCACAACTGACTCATGTGGTGAGATCTCTTGTGTGACTACTGCGCTCCCCAATCCCAAGGTGTGACAGCCTCGTGGCCAGGGGATGGATGGCATAGAGGGAATAGTGATGCCCCAAAGAGCTGGCAAACTCTAGGGGTGTTATAGCCTTGGCGCGATATGGGCACACTATCGTGCGCAACAGCACTTTGTACCAATTTAGGTGAATAAAATGCACATAGGACAAAAACTTTTCGAAATCTATAAATAAAAATTTAGAGAAGCAACTACGGTTGCGGACCCTTTATATGTCCCAAATAGGTCTCAATATCACCTATCAGGGTCCTACAGGCAAATCTTCAAAACACTGAGATGGCTTACGCAGAACTTACTGTTGCTATGAGAGGGCACAAAATACTGGGAAAAGTTCAGATTTCTGACAAAATAAAAATTCAATTATGGAAGCCCGATGGATGTAGTCGTGTAAATAAAGGTCAGGGGAACGTTTCACAGCATATAATATTCCACACAAGCTTAGCTGTCGAGTCGGTTCAATTACATTATGGAACGGAATTAATTTAGAGGGTAATTGAGCTACAATTACAAATGAATGCTGACTGATACATACACAATGACCTTCAAAATCTTTTACTTATATCTGTTTTATTGGCTACGATAATGTTGTGCTCATACATAGTAATGTAGCAGCAATGGCAGTACTTTGAAGACGCCTTGAATGCAGCACTTAATTAGCCAGCAAATAATCCGGACTCAAATCCCATAGGGTAACATCATATGGAACGAGCTGAAAATAAATATCGTTTTTACTTATCACGAAATATAGCTCCTAAATCAATTGCACAATATCATTAAAGCTAGATGTAGAAATATTAGTACTAAAGACTTATTATACCATTTTCCCAAATGCTTCAAAAAATATAGTCCCACAAACGAATGAGGAAAAACCCAAATTACTGGTATCAGCACCCAACCACAGAGCCAAAAAAGTCAATCACGAATTCACTGTTAATAGCTCTAGCTTTGAAATGATGAAAAAGTTCATACATTTCAGTTCCCTGATGACTTATGAGAACTGCATAACGGAAGAAATCAAACGAAGAATAATTCTAACAAACAAGTGCTATTGTGGGCTGAGTAGACACATAAAAAGTAGAATCTTAAGACAGAACGCAAAGATAACAATATGACTACCATTGCTGACTGGATCCTGGGAGCTATATTCGGTGGCATCTGTGAAAAGGTATTTAAAGGAGGCCCAACTATGAGATATATAAATAAAACATATATCTGGTGGTAAAGACGTGATATCTCTCATAAAAATAGGAAGACTAAGATGAGCAGAATATCTAGCAAGATTACAGCAGAACAACCCCTAGACGAATCCTAATGTTGAAACCTGCGGAAAGTAGACGGGGAGGCAGGTTAAACCTTAGTTGGAAGGATGGTGTACACAAATATGGTAGAAAAACAGGTGTAGCAAACTGGAATCGGTTGGAAATGAATATGTCTGACTTGTGAAATAGACTTTAGAAGTCGAAGCTCTTCATGGAATACTACATTCCCGATAAACTAAGACGACTAGTAAGAACTAAAATGTGTAAAGTTTTTTGCAAAGTAGAAATACAGGGCGAACAATCACAAGCATTTGAAATGCATGTCGAATTGCGAAGTGAGATGCGCTGGCATGCCTCCTTATCAACATAGTCTTGGAAACGGCAGTAGAGACGCCACAATAGAAAACAGGAAAAATTTTGACTTATGCATATGATCTAAACCTAATTACTCGTACAACAGGCAAGCTAGAAGAAATGTACACCACTTTCTCAAATGCCTCAAATAAATAACGAAAATACCAAAATAATGGTGTCAACACCCGATAGTAGAGCCAGAAACATCGGTCCCAATTCACTGT